TTATTGTCGGTATAGCGGCGGCAAGTAAATTAAAATACGCCTTTATTGTATAGAAGAAAAAAAGAAATTTTTTTCCCAATATTAAATAAAACAATAAGTTACCAATGAACTGTGGCATCTATTATGGAAATTTAAATCGTGTGAATAAATAGCAGACAGAATTTAGTCAATGATCAGCCCTATGGCAGTGATGGCATGCATCAATGGAGTTTGACCACTCCATTATTGTTAAGCTTGATTGATCTATTGTTGTTCATTTTTTTCAATGATGATCTGCATATTAAATTGAATGAGATGAAGAAAAAAAAAAGCGAAACCGTTTTTAATCGAATCAATTCAATGTTTTAACCTTTTTCTCACACCTATAGAATAATTCCTATTCGTTTTTCTTTTCAAAAAGTATTATTCTCATGTTCATAAAGAAAAATAGAAACCTTACGTCAATGACATAATTCGTTCAATAAGAAAGATATAATGTGACAATTAGAAAATAAGATCAATGTTTGTCTATTTGTTTTCTTTTTAAAAAGTGATGATAATGATTGTGCGAGAAATTCAAGTGTGTTCATTCTATTGACATAATGTTCATATAACTGCCATTTTTTTTTGAAGAAGACTATTTGTCTTATATGAATGAAAGCGTGAGAGTTTTGACCATCAGGAATAAGAAGAATTACAAGTAATTAATCATTAAAATTTATTTCGAAATAAAATTTGAAAGATGCTTTTAGTTTTCATATTGATCCAAGTCAAATGACAAATAAGAAAAATTTGTTTAGAATTCATTATTTTCTTATTGAAATAACATGAAAAGAATAACATTTAATTGTTGTTATAAATTGGATATAGGCGACGTAATCTATGTGTGCAAGAAAATTAAATTTATCGTTGAGAATTGCTGTAATATTATGAAAGAAAAATAGTAGAAGTGCATTAAAAAGGAAAGGAAAAAAATTAAGCGAGGAATGGAAGCAAAAAAAAACAAACTGGTCCCTATGAGGATCGAACTCATGACCTCCGCGTTATTAGCACGGCGCTCTAACCAGCTGAGCTAAGGGACCGCATTTGCGTTTCTTGACAAATTTCTTATCATTCTTACCAGATTATACGAAACATTTGTAAAATTCAATTCTATCGCATTTAAATTCATTATTATACTGCATACTAATAAATTATAATATTAATCATTGATAATCTATCAATTGATTCTTTTTTTCTTAAGAAAATTTTAATATATCAATATATTTTTTATCGATTTTTATTTTCCGTAAACACATAACAAGAAAATTACACACCACATAGAAAAAAATAATAATCAAATAATTTTGTTAACTAGCAATCTAAAAAAATAAATAAATATAAATTTCAATACAGTTATATATATGTATATATTCTTACTTGAGTTTGTGCTGCAGCATCATCGCCCATTGATGCAGCCATCATTTGTGCAGCCATATAATTAACTTGGACATTATATGTTGCTTGTACCGAACGTTTAATTCGTAACATTTCACGCATTGTATCTTCATTTCCATGTTTAATTTCAAATTCTTTCCATGTTTGCCAAAAGTCAGTATGTATCTAAATAATAATAATTATGAAAATAAAAAAAGGCAATAAATATTTCATACTCGTGGATCACACATTTGTGAACAATGTGAATAGATTGCTCTTGCTCGATCAATTTCACCTAATTTTCTTTCTAAATCTGCATAACGTAAGCACATATCTCTCACAGCTTTTTCTTCGTCTAATGATTCAATTGCTTTTTCATATATGTCACGTGTTGCTGTTATACCTTGCATTTCACCACAACGTTTTATATAGATATTAAACATCTACAATAGAAAAAATAAATATATAATAAAATATAATTTTATTTTCAAAATCTACTTCTTCTTTTTCTTTTGGTTCAACAGCATTTGTTGCACGTTCATAAATTTTCAATGCTCGTCTATCAAGACCATGTTGTTCTTCTAATTTTGCATATAATAAATATAAATTTTTAGCAAATTTGGCTTGACAATGTTCCAAACATTGTTCAAATAAATCTCTTGCACGTTCTAATTTTGAACCATCAGAATATCGTGCAACAAATTTACATAAATATGTTAACCATATATCATATACATTAGGCCATTTAAATAATGCAATACCTTTTTCATAGGTACGAAATGCATCTTCATAATATTTATTTTCTTCTAAATAAAGACCATAATTCATAATTATTTGTGGTGTCGCAATACGTAAATCAAGTATACGATCATAAACTGATTTACATGTTTGAAATGTTCCATAACATTCTTCTAAATCAACATAGAATGACCATAATTTTAAACATTTATGTAAACGTAATTGAACAAGTTCATTCGTATCATAATAATCAACTTTATGTCTTGGTAATACAGTTGCACGTTCCATTAATTTAATTGCCGCATCAGATTTTTCATGTTGTAATTCCATTTCACACCATGCACACCAAATAGCGGCTAAATCATCAACATTTCGAAAATTAACTTTAACTGCTTTATCATAAATATATCTTGCTTCATCTGGTTGTTGATATTTATCATAGAATCGTGCAAATGCAATCCATAAATCTTGTAATTTTCCTGTACAAATTTTTGGATCAACTGTTTGTACAGCTGTTGTAAATGTTTGAATGATTTTATCATATTGTTCACCATGTAATTTTACACGTTTTAACCATTCATTAACATTATGTGGATTTTGTCGTAATAAGACACTATTTAACATTAATGGACGACGATCCATTAAATATTCTAAACGTGCAAGACGAAGTTCAAGTTCAAGATCATCTAATAAAATAAATAAATAGTTTCATTTTCTTAAAAATAAAGGATATATTTTTTTCTCTTACCATCTTCAGTTATTTCTTCATCTTCATCAGTTGTTTTATTCATTAGAGCACTTATAAGACCTTCTTCAGATTGTGCATAAGCATCAAATACTTGAGTAAAATCTCGTACAGTTAGAACAGATTCAATAGCTTCTTCAAATATATCACGAGCCTAAAAGAATATATTATTAAAAAAAGAAATTATCTATTATTTTACTTTTTCAAAACAACCACTACGTATATAAAAATCAGCAAGTGATGTCCATAATTGTCCAACTTGATCTTTATATTTTAAAATACCTTGTCGAATAATTGGTTCAACTGGAACTGATTTGATTTTTGTTGGATTTTTTGATACTAATTCACATAATTCATTCCATAACTTAACAAAAACAAAAAGAATTATAAATAAAGTTTTCTTTTATTATGAAAAGAATATTAATTTTACCTGATGAGTTGATTTTCCTTGACGTGAAGTAAAATGATCATTATTTAATATACCAACATAATATTTAGCACATTCATCTAAATTTCCAATTTCTTTTAAATAATCAATATATTGTTCAGCACATTCAGGTTGTAACTAAATAATAAAAAAAATTTAGACATATTTTATGTTTTAACAGCGTACAAATCATGTTATTAACTCAATCAAAATGATGTGTTTTTCACTTACTTTAAGATATCGTTTATAGACTCTCATAGCTGTGTCAGGTATTTCCGGGTGACTAGTAACAAATTTTATATATAATGGCCATATACGATTATGTTGAGTGATAGGTAATGCTCTTATAGCTCGATCAAATACACGACGTGTACGAGTTATTTTACATTGATCCATTAAAAATTGGCAATAATCAAGCCATATTCGAGGCATCTATATAAATAAAGAATTTATATAGATAAAAAGAAATTTAATAATAATACTTTATGCATAAAGACAAGAGAACGTTCAAAAGCATTGTTAACCTCATCATAAGCAGAATCTATAATACATTTTGAACGAATTTGTTTGCGTCGAAGTTTTAAATAATTATGCCATAATTTATAACTAAAGCAATAAAATAGAAACAAAAGATAATGATGAATATAATTACCTTCCAGGTAATTCACGTAAAGCTCGTTCATAGACGAGATTTATTTTTTCATTAGGTCCTTCTTTAATATGATCAATATATCGAAGCCATGTTTTAACTGAATATTGATTTCGAAGACAATCTTCTTCATAAAGTATATCTGTTTCATCCTAAATGAAAAATCATCATTCAGATAGAATGAACTATTTTAAATAAAATCTTACAAAAACTAATTTGTTCGTTGATATTGGTGAAGATGGTGGTGAATCGTTTTCTACAGTCATTATTTGTACGATTAGTACAGCGGATTGTGAACAAGATGAGATGAATAAAAAATATTTCAACACAGACATTCTCCTATTGGTCAATTGAGTTCCATCAATGAAAAAATGTCGCTTATAAATGATGGCGCTAGTGAACGAATCTCATTTTGTAAATTTTGACTTTCATCCGACTAGAATTTTGACTTGTATTCATTTCAATAAATGTTTATTTTTATTCGATTGCTCGATAACAATAAAATGCAAAAGAGGTAATATTGTTCAATGAAATACAACTTACTAGAAGTGATGGGTCATATAAATTAAACAAGTATTATTTCATAAACCATATTACAGAAAGCTTGTTTTCTATCATACAAATGTTACAAACTAAAATCTTACGAGAAAATCTCACCAACTGATGCACTTCGTTAGAGTTCGTATTTTTCTTGTAACTAGGACGTATAGCGTAGATAAGAATCCTAAAAAGGAGTTCGTTTTATTAGGCGTTTTTTCTCGAGTTATGGTTATTTTACTGAATTTTCCGCATATTGTAAAATATTACGAAAAAAACTACAATAAGGGACTTCCACCAGAAACTCAGTATATTCTGAAAGTTCCAGTTCAAACTGACGTTTGGCTTTCGAAATAATATGTTTTCAAAAAATTAACACTTTCTCATAACATCTTCGATAAAAGCCCATTACAGCATTTTTATCTACGCTATGCGTCCTTCTTATGATAAAAATATGAACTCAAGCAAAGTGTATCAGTTGGTGAGGTGCCTTCCTTTTCAAATCGATTGATAACTCATAATCATGGCTTATTGTATCAAAATAAATTTGCATCTGCATGAAATTTACGTTATTTTTTATTAAACAACAATGCAATATACATAAGATTTGTTTTATATCTAATATTGAACTGTATTTATTTTCAACTCGATCATGCATATAATCGAAAACTATACAAGAAAAAACGAAAAATTAATTAAACGCTACGTTCATCACAAAAATTGTTTTTTTTTGTGTCTTTGTTAATATGTGCCTTGAGCAATCATTGCCTCTGCTACTTTTTCAAATCCGGCAATATTAGCACCAGCAACAAGATCATAGCCAAGTTCATATTTTTCTGCAGCTTCTTTTGATTTTGTATGAATATTAACCATAATTTCTTTGAGTTTAGCATCAACTTTTTCTTTTGTCCATAATAAACGTGAAGAATTTTGTGTCATTTCAAGCTCAGATACAGCAACACCACCTTAAATGAAAAAATATTAATTGATTAGTTATAGTTAAATCAGATAACAAACCTGCATTAGCAGCTATAGCTGGCCCAAGAATAACACCATTCTTTTTGAAATATGCCATGGCTTTGGATGTTGTTGGAAAATTAGCTCCTAAAATCAATCAAAAATAATGTTATTATTGAAATAAATATATATACTTAAAGAGATGATTACTGACCTTCAAAAACATATTTAATACCATTTTTATGTAATTCTTTAGCTTCTTCCAAATCAATTTCATTTTCTGTAGCTGACGGAAAAGCAATATCACCTTTTAATTTCCATGGTTTTTCTTTTGCATGAAATTTAACATTAAATTGTTTTGCATAATCTTCTAATTTAATTTTATGTTCGGATCGAATACGTAAAAGAAAATCGATTTTTTCATCTGTATTAATTCCTTCTGGATCATGAACATAACCATCACGACCAGATATCGAAATAACTTTTGCGCCAAGATCACGAGCTTTAATACAAACACCCCATGCGACATTTCCATAACCTGATAGAACAATTACTTTATCTTTTAATGAATCACCTTTTTCTTTGAGTACCTAGAAAAGAATAATATTAAATAATTCAATAATAATATTATTTCATACTTCATCAGCATAATACATTGCACCAAAACCTGTAGCTTCACTACGAATATGACTACCACCATATGTTAAACCTTTACCAGTTAAAACACCATTTTCAAAAGCACCACGAATTCGACGATATTGTCCATAAAGATAACCAATTTCTCTACCACCAACACCAATATCACCAGCTGGTACATCAACATCAGGTCCAATATGTCGATAAAGTTCACTCATGAAACTTTGACAAAATCGTTGAACTTCAGTATCAGATTTACCTTGTGGATCAAAATCTGAACCGCCTTTGCCACCTAAATATAACAGAAATACAAAATGTTTTTCTAAGAAATATCAAAATATATACCTCCAATTGGTAAACCAGTTAATGAATTTTTTAAGATTTGTTCAAGACCCAAAAATTTTATAATACCCAAATAAACAGTTGGATGAAAACGTAATCCACCTTTGTATGGTCCAATTGCACCATTAAATTGTACACGATAACCACGATTAACATGGATTTGACCATTATCATCTTCCCATGGTACTCGAAAGATAATAACACGTTCTGGTTCTGTAAAACGTTCGAGTAAAGCCAATTTTTCATATTCAGGATGTTTTTCAATAACTGGTCGAAGACAATTCAATACTTCTTCAGCAACTTCAAGAAATTCTTTTTCATCTGCATTTTTCTTCTTGAGATGTTCAAGAACACGATCAACATAATCCGATGGCATATTGTATTTGTTTGTGTGTAAGAATTGTCTATAAAGAAAAAATGTATAAATGTGAAATAATGAAAATATCATTCGTTTAAATACTCCTAGATAATGAATCTTACAATATACTCTCTCATACTTAAACGAGGTAATGATAAAATGATGAGAACAAAAAAGGTTTGTTTAGGAGATAAAAAAAAGGTATATATTTTACATCGATGACTTATCGACCTTATCCATACAGTAAGCGCGTGCTAGTATAAGTTTAATATAAACAAACAAATTTCATTTCAACTATGATATGAGAGAAAACTGAAGATCACGATGTTGAACATATCGAAACAGTTTCATATAATTCGACTACTTCATGTTCATGAAGAAAGATAACGAGAAAAAAGTAAAATGCACTTAAAATTTACCGACAAGATAACTCATATTTTTAAGTAGAAGAAATGATAGTACTTTAGAAAGTACACTACTATATTTCTCTTTATCAAAATCGTATCATTCTCATACAAAGTATACACTTATATACTCGTTCATCAGAGAAAACGAGAGGATCAATACGGGCGAAATACAATATGACGTACAAAGTACGAACGAACAAGTAAACACGTAAACACATGCATGCAATGGAGCTTTACAATAACAAAATATTGCAAATCATATTATATTAACAGAAACAAATGAGAAAATTTATTGGTAGATAAAAATTTATAATTTATTTGGAATATTTAGAGTTTCGTTTGTCTATCCTCATTCCGGATGTGAGTCAATTTTGTAATAGAAACATATCAATTTATTTAATGTTTTATTTCAAGAATTTTTCATATTTCATGATTGCAGATATCAATATATAATGATATACATCAATTCAAGTAACAAACATGATAAGATGAAAAAAGAAAAAATCTACTTAAACTTTAAATGTTATCTTTTGTAAGTTGTTGACTATTAATAGATTCTTTATAACCTCTTTATATTACTTGTAACATAAAAAAGTATAGTTTTATCTTCGTTCGTTTTTTATCAGTTCACCTTATACTGTATTGATTTCAACGGTTTACGTGATTGTATTAGGACACGTGACATTGATATTTTAATTAAAAGACTCTCGATAACGTATAAAAGATATTTTTACTTAGAATAGATTTTTATGTTTAATGTCTAATGACATGATACTGTTCTATAATACTCATTTTGCTTTGGAATCTGTCTCTATTAAATTGTACTGTTGAAGGTCGACTGCATCACCTCTAAAAATTTTGATAAGATTGGATGATTAAAAGAAAAAAGAGATTATAAGGTGATAGAGTCTCCTTAATCTCTTAAATATTTTTGTTGAAGAGAAGGGATTTATTGTCACGGTCTGGAGCATCGACAATTAAGGAAAGAAAAAAAAATATATTGACAACGTGATGATGTGAATGAGTATAGCAGAAAATAAAATTGAGTACAGCAAACAAACAGCCATTCAATCAACTAAGAGTCTGAAGCTTCTTTTAGTCATATAGATAGGGAGAGATAAGAAGATGATATAGACGCTCTACCCGAATGTTTAATCTCGACAAAATCTAATCATCGCATGAGTAAAGCTTTGTAATATATATCAATAATGAACATGAAAGATCAGATTTATAATTTCTTTTTCAATCTGCTTTATATCTTCAAGTCTTTCTCTTTTGTGAAAATGTGTTAATCATGTGCTGCTATACCCGACGATAGCGATGTACTAGTCTTAGGTCGGCTCTAAACTTTAGCCTAAGCAGCTATTATTGTTTGAATGGAAAGAAAGACAAAATAGGAAAGTGCTAAGCGAAAAAAAAGGAGTTTCTTCAATAACATAAAACAAAATGAGCATGCGTTATATGATATCAGATAAAATATCTAAGTAAATATGATATATGAAATGAACGTTATTTATCTGATAAATTATAAAAAAATTGGATAGTTGAGCTACTTTAGATTGATGCTCATGTTATATTATGTTTTACAAAACATTTATTACAGAAAATATATTTTTAAAAGATGTCACTGGTACTCCTAGTCTCAGTAAATCAGTCTTGTTGGGTATGATGAAACCAATGGGTATAGTGTTCTACATAATAATTATTGATTGTCTGTATAAACAAATTTTCTAAACGCTGAGTTCATTTGTACTATTATGTATCTTCGACATGTATTTCTAAATCTGAGATCTATTGCTTTTCCTCGTATTCAAGTAAATTGTCTTTCTATATTAATATATTTAGTAATAATGTTTTCTCTAGAATGTTAATAAATCATTCTATCGTCCATTATCATCACATAAACATAAAAATGAATTTGAAGTTTCTACGGTAAAAAAATCTCCTGATAAAGGTGATGACGACGATGATGCAGATCTTAAATCTGTTATTGAAACGAAAGCTGCACGCAAAGAACGTGAAAAAGCTGAATGGGATCGGTTATCAATTGTCGAAAAATTTGTTAAAAAATTTTTTCCATCCCAAATCAATTCAATTGCAATTCTTGTAATACAATTTTAATTTTTGTTTTCAATTCACTCAGAAAAAAAACATTCCTTTCCATTTATTAATAATAGATTGTTGCTGGTATTGGTTATGTGATATGTGAGCAAATAAAAAATGATTATGAAATAAAATATACATTTCGAAATGGTTCATGTCCAAATTTTAAATTTAAAGAAGAACAACTACTCGAAAGAAAATCTCTATTAGATACACTGACAAGTATTGTTACACCTGTTGCTGATAAACTTGTTTCATCCTACTATATTGTACTTGGAGAACACGGAGTTGGGTATGATATATATGTTAAGAAAATAGTACAACATCTTTGTATTTTTAACTATAGAAAATCTACATTAATACGACAAGCAGCGCGAAATGTTGGTCAAGGTGTTATTTACGTTGATGGTAAATATATATATTAATAGATAAACGTTCAAAATTAATTTTTTTAGTTCCATCTAATGTTGATAAATTTGGTTTTGCTTTTGCCCGTGCAATTAGATTTAATTTTAAAGAACATATTCGTTTATCAACTTGGATTGAATCAAAAATGTTCGGTTCACCACCTGACGATGGTATGACTATAAGTATATTTTAAAAGAAAAAGTTGTTATTTCTCTATTTACATATGATCACAAATGATGATGCATTTTTTTTTATATATTTTTTCTTTTTTAGGAAAAGAAGCCAGTTGGGAACGTGTGATATTGACATTTGAAAAATATGCAATTGACTTTAAAAAAAGATATGGTTCTGTACCTATATTAATCTTTGACAATTGTGATTCACTTGCAAATAAAGATCCTAAAATGCTTGAAATATTACAAGATACAGCCAAAACAGCTATTGACGATTCAACATGGGTCACAGTATTTGTTACTTCTGTTGGAAATGCACCTGAGCAGATGGAAGGTTTGTATAGTAATTTCACAGTAAAATAATAAACATGTTGCATTTTTGTCTTCTATTTTTTCCATATAAAATATTGTTTTTCAAATTTGCTATTAAATGATGATTATATAGTTTATTAATTGAGTTAAAGATGACAAGATTGTTATGTAGAGTATAAATGAAATCAGTTTTCAATTCTGTATGACACTAAAAATGATCAGTCTATTTTCCCCCTTTTCTCTATATGTAAAATGTGTTTTTACATACAAATAATGAGATTCAAAATAAATTCTAATTTTTCTTCGATTATTTTTTTCAGGTCGAAGTAGTATTACACGAGCATCATCTTTTATTGAAATATCTGATCTCTCAAAAGACGAAACAATGACGTATTTATTAGAAAAAAGAAACCTTTCAAAAGAAATGGCAGATAATCTTTACGGTCTTTTTGGAGGACGAATAAAAAGTTTACAAAATGCAGCATCAAAATTAGAAAGTGGTGTACCATTTACCTGTAAGTCATATCTATACGATTTGTAATGAAAAACAAATTTTCTACTGTTTCGTTTTAGCCATACGCAAATCTATTTTACAAGATACGGCACGTCGGATAGAGAAAATCAGATGTCGAGGAACTACGCAAGAGCAAACATTTCTATTTAATGTTCTTTGTGGCTTATTATATCGACCTGAATTAACCGTTGACGAATTAATTGAAATGGAAGAGGATGTTAGTATACGACAAAATGTATTAGATGAACTTCGTAATGAAACACTTCTTATACGATCTGTTTCAACTGGTTCATATATTTATCATAGTCAAGTTATTAAAGTATGCGTCGAAGAATATTACAAAACTAAATGTTTAAGTTGCAATGCATTAAAAGTGTAAACTTGTTAAACGTTTTTCTTGTTTGTTTGTCACTTTTTTTTAGTACAAATTTTTTTCAAACGATGTATTTTTTGTTAGATATTTCGAAAAAGACAGAGAATTAAATAAATATTAAACAAGCTGATAATGACCTACATATTTCTTATTTAAATCAAGGCTAATCCAATTAAATGATATGATTTGAAGAAAAATATAGTTGTAATACAAACTGATAGGTTTTTCTTTGACCTATTTTCAATCTAATTGTTATCGTATATTATAAAGAGAAGAAAAAGAAGAAAATTAGACTTCCGAAGAGAGAAAAGCACGGTAACATTTATATATAATATACAAACACGCACACATATACATGAAATAGTAGTTTTTACTCTGTCAAATCTAGTTAACTGAAAGAAAAAGTTTCAGATAAGATTTTATTTGACAATATGATATCATCAGGTATTAATATAAATCAAATGACTCCAATTGTTGATATTATTTTTCCTGAACAAGCTTCTCTTAATCAACGTCATTTGTCAACAAATGATCTTAAAACATCATTTGATCGATTTCTCTTATGGAATAATAATTATAACAAGGATAATTCAGCATCATCCTTTTGTGGTGAAGTTACAAATGATTCAACATCATTTATTACTCGACGTCAATCAACAGCACATACTTCATTACGAGATATTCAGCATCATAATCAACAACTACATTTTCATCGTCCATCGCTTGTAATTCGACCACATATTACAGCATCACCAATACGTTTACCATCACCTACAACACTGCATGATTTCATTTATAATTTCATATAGATTTTTATTTAGTTTTTGTTTTAGAAATATTCCAAATCATCGTAATATCAATAAACTTCAACATTCATTTCCAAAGAATAGTACTAGTTTTACAAGTATAGATTATCAACCTCGTTTATTAATAACTACATCAGCTGGTTCACATGATCAAATAACAACAACTCGATTATCATCTATCGATTTTATGAAACAACAATCAACAAACCATCCAGTCATAACACAAACATCGTCAACAACTTTCTCTTATGTGCCTGCCACTTGCTTATAAGAATTCAACTATGTCTCGTCATTAAATAAAACAGTTCATTTAATCAAAATATGTAACTTTTCTTTTATTTATTCAATAGATCGTATTGACTTGAAAAGAAGTAGATTTGTCTTTTATTTTTAGTTAGGAAATATTCATGTTCAATTATATATTACTATTATTTGTAATTATTTAATTCTATGAGATATTTAATCATATCATATCCGTTTGTTGCCTGTTTTTGATAAATTTCGTCTAATAATTTACTATATATAAATAATAAAATTGATCTGTTTTTGAAAATTGACGTCAGAATATTCATAAACAGAATCTTTTTGTGTCTATATGTTCTCATTGAAAACATATATATATATATATATTTAATCATTTCAAATAATCATTCACATATTACAAAAAAAAAGAATAGTTTTTCATTTCACTAACACATATAAGAAAAAAGAAATAGACAAACAGAGAGCAAACAATTTTGAATTTAAATAATTTTGAATTTTCTTTGTTTTTTTTGTTTTTGTTTTTCTTCTACAGAAATAATTCATTTCTAAACAGAGACATAGATACGAGACAGAAACAACATCAATTAAGTCAAAAAAAACGAAAACACAAGTATTTAAGTAAAATAAGAGAGAATAATAGTGAGATTCAAAAAAGAAAAAGATTTATATCGTAACAAATAAATAAAGAAAGCACATGATCATATTTTTATGAATGAAAACAAAAGTAGTGTTTGTTTTATCAATGATGTTCCATACTCATATGACTTACATCAAATTCATCAAGTGTTAAATCAAATATATCATCTTCATCTTGTAATTTCGAATGATAAATTATATCACGTATACGTTTTTTATATAAATCATCATTATTTATCATAGTTAAATAACGTCGAAGTAAACTTGATGTTCGTTTATCTTCAAAAGATGTTTTTAAATGTAGATCTGTTAATGCTAACATACATTCATTTAAATCATATTCTGTATATGTTGTTAATTGAGTATAATGATTTGACCAATTCATATTAATATTAAGTAATTGATTGGAAAGTAAAAGACAACTAGCAGCAATCATTGATGAACGATATGAAGAAAATGGTTGATCATGTAAAAGTGTTAGTGTACACAGATAGTTTGATAATAATACTAGACATTTATGATCATCAGTTGATACTAATGATTTAAGATGAATTAAATAGTATTGAAGAAATGTATAACTTGTTGGTCCAGAGAGAGAAAAATTGAGCATCTATAAAATAAGATAAATATTTTCAATAGAATGCCCCTTTATCACAATATAAACTTACTTTCATAACAATTTGTTCCATACGAAGAATATGTTTTATTTCATATGTATTATCAGTAATAAATGAAAATTCTTCTAATGCAGGCGGATACATTTCTTCATGTTTCGCTGCTATATACATACATGTTGTACCTAAATAAATAAAAAAGAAAATTAGTCTACTTCTTTTTTTTGTTTCATTATGTCGATTGAAACTAACCAAGTAATTGCAATTTTGATCGTGTTACATTAACTGCTGATAAAAATCGATCAATATATTGTATACAGAGAAACAGTGTTTCATCAATTAATTTATATTCATCGGAAACTTCAATAAGCCAATCGATAAGAAGTGTACGCATAGGAGAATTAATATCCGATTGATTTTCCATAAAATTCGCTTCTTAAAAAGAAATATTTATAAAAAAAAAACAAGAATTTCTTCGAATAAATACGTACTAGGTGCGTAGATATGTTCAACGGATAGTAAATGTTCAAAAATTGATTGACGATAATCAGATCTAAGAAAATAATTAGCATCGTGTTTAATTTTAGTATTCAATATCATATATTGCGTTGTCAAAAAGAAAAATAAGAATACCCTATAGACTTAATCCAGCTCTAATTTAAATTTAATATCGTAAATTAAATAATCAGACCTGATATGATTCTCCAAGCGAACTATGTCAATATATTCTATTCATATTCGACGTTGCTACAAGGTATAGCTATTTTAATAATTTAATTAATAAATAGAAATCCGTATTATAGATTCTAATAATATTTTTTCGGAAAAGAAAATATACTTACAATTCATATAAATCTTGTTCAGATTGTTCACGTGTTTTATTAATTTCTGACAGAGGTGTATTTTGTTCGAATAAAAAATTTGTTTTAACCATAGGTGAAATAAGCATATCATTATTATCATTTTCTTTTGATTGTTGTTTTATTGAACGTATTGCAGTAAGAATCGGTCTTGTTTTTATTGGAATTTTTTGTGATATTAATGATAAATTTTCTTGTTCTACGATTGTATTAGTTGTAACATTTTTTATATCAATTGATAGATATTTTTGTATTGAAACATCTTTAAATGGAAGACGATTTTGTGTCTCGCGCAGTATATTTCGATTGAAATTCATTGTCTTAAAACAGGAATATATATATATGTAATTTATTCTCTAGAAATAACTAGAAAAATTTTACTCGAACTGTTATTAGAATAATATTATGAACTAAACTGATCGATGTAAGTCGAAATGAAGAACAAAGAATCAATCGTTCTATGATATATATATCTACACGTATTCTTTGTTTAACGCGCTTGTTTTCAATATCAGCCAATAATTCATCTTATAACGAAAGAGTGCGCTAAGTAATGTATTCAATTTATCATGTTTTATATGATTATGATTCATATATATATATCATTGTGTTTCTTTTTATTTTTAAATTATTTAAAAATACAATATTTATTATTGATAAATGTTTTATTCGCATGGATGAAGTTTATCATGAAAGAAAAAAAAGAAATATAGATTTCTTTAATATTGACATACAGACAGCTAAATAAAGGAAAAAACGAGCTTTATTTAACTCAATAAAGGAAAACGTGATGTGGAATACGATCTATCTAATAAAACTATAGGTTATATATATATAAATCAAGTAAATATATCAAAGTATATTAAATAGAAAATGCGCATATATATCTACATTTTTTTAAAAATATCAAAGAATGATATGCGTTGATGTTAAAAGAATATGATCTATTTACCTCGGGATTCATGGATGAATAATGAAATATAATATTCTATAATTTAATTGAATTGAAAGATTTGAAAAGGTTGTAAGGATAGTTACGTCTTTACTTGTCAGATCAAATCCCCGTAGATTTTCACAATAATGTCATATGGTGAATGTCTGCTAGAGATGATCTTATTATGGTTTAAGGAAAATATTTTGCATCGTTGCTTTTTTTTTATGTTAATTAAAGATAAAAAAAAACTCGAATGACGATTATAATTATAAAATAAGAAAAATTTGACTGATGTCTATTTTATTGTTCTTCAATTTCTTTTTTTTTTTCAAAATAATTATTTTATGTTCAATTATAGATAAGTTGTTCTCTTATTCTAAAACAATTTTTACTTTCCCGTCCTCTTTTTTTCCTATTATGGAATGTTTAAATAGAAAGACGACTATTACCCTTCATTCACATAAACAAATATTAATCAAACATAAATTATTCATTAAATATATAATTCATATGTCATCATCCTCGATATGTATATTTTAAATTCTGTTTTATGTGAGATATAGTTTGCTGGTTTTATGAATATGAAAAAAAAACGAGAGAGAGGAAGAGAAAAGGTTGTTTTTTATACAAATAAATTAAACAAATGAGTTAACCTAAACCAGATGCTTTTAAATTTTCATCAATTAATATATTATTAGCAACACCATAGAAAAAGGCTAATTGTCCTTGAAAATATTGTCGATCAATAGCTTTACAAACTCCAGCACGTCTATAATTATATCCTCTTGTACAATGTATAAATTTTTCCCATATAATTTGGTCAAATTCCGGATCACCTTCAGTATTTAATTCATCATCAATTTCAAACGTAATTTTTTCTTCATCATCATGTTCTTTTGCTAGAACAGGAAGATGTTCACGAGATTTTTTACGTGAACCTTGTCGAGTATGATTTAGTTTGGCACGATTTGCTGCTGCATCATAACCTCCATCTGGTAGAAGAGCTTTTGTTAAAACAGTTCGAACATTTTTTGTTAATTCATACCATTCTTGAGGATCTTCTTCATAAAGTAATTCATGTGTTGGTCGAGGACGATAACGTTTATCATGTTTTAAACGTGCTTTCATACGTGCAAATAATTTCACTAATGAAAATGATTGATTATGACCAATTGCATCTTCACCTGTTTCACTATAATAAATCGTTGGAGGTACACGAGTATTTGTTGTTAAATAATTATGATTATTATTATTTAAATCATTTACATGTGAGCGTCGATGTTTAGTCGAAGAAAATGAACGTTCAAATTCGTTTGTATTATTAATATTATTATGATGATGAGACGGAGGATTATGAGTTTCACTTATAGATGAATATTGACGTGAAAATAACGATTGATTCGTTTGTTTTTGCTTTTGTTGTTGTTGTTGAATAGCACTTATTACATTTGTTGTTGGAGATTGACGTAATGCACCACAACGTTGTGTTAAATAACGATAGTTTTCAATAAGATCATCTTCTGTTTCAACAATTTCTTCATCATATTCATTATGATGTTGCTGATGACGATGATGCCGATTTTCCTCACTTTCATCATTACTAGTACTTCGACGATTCGTTGATGTTCGAAGAGCCATATTTATGGAAAATGAAAATAAGACTGATATACAAAAGTATTAAAGAATTTCTCTTCTTTGTCGTCTCCTATTTTTTTTTCTTTTTTTTTTTATATACTAGTGTGAATGCTGTCAGCTCAATGTTGTGGATGTCGTCTTTTTACCTTGCCGTTGTTAGTATATACTTTGACGGAGCTATTCGCGTATAAGTAAGAACGGAACTTCCCATAATATTTTGAGAAGCGGCGATAATGTGACGAGAAAACGGAAGAATCATGTCGATGAGAAAGAAAGGGAAAATAAGATGAAGAGAGAAACATAGACGAGCACCATATATCACATTGTTGATGCTTTATAGTATAAACTTAAGATTCAATAGAAAAAAAAACATTCTCATTATTATTACGTTTTTCCTCTTTCTTTTATCTACGTGTTTTCCTTTGTTTTTTCTTTTCCTGTTCATAATTGTTACATTGAAGTCTAAAACAGTTATTACAATAAATTATTTCATCGTGAGAAATAAATTTAATAATATACAAAAAAAAAAATAAAAAAATTTTTTAGCTAATAAATTGATCATAAAAGAAAACATTTACACACTAAAGCATCGGTTAATCCTTTTTTTATATCATTATATTAATTATGAAAGTTAATTAGATTCATCCTATTCTCTTTTATCCGGTCTATAGGTATAACAATATAATTTATTTATGCGGTTAAAAGAACACATTGTTTGTAGAACATTTGTATGCATTCATTTGTAAACATACAACGAGTTCGTTATATAAATACAATTATATATTTTAATTGAACGGAAATATTTTTAATCAATTGAAAAAAATCATCAAAATATATATTAACTATTTTTTATTCATTGTTTAAGTCTATTTTTTTTTTCTTATAATACAATCAAGAAAGAAAGAAAGAAAGAGCCAAAAAAAATAACCCATCTGACATATTTAAATGATCATACAGACACAAAAATAATAATAATAATAATAATATTTGTAACAAGAATAAAATTTTATTCTTGTCCATGTAATAAACAATATACACCACGCATATTTTCTGTTTGATGTTCAGTACAAAATGAACTTAAACAATCAGCACAAGCAATGTTTGCATCAATACCACATATGTCACAACGATGTGATGGACATATCCAACGTTCTAGTTCGAAGAAGAATGAATATGAGAATTATTTATGGAACAAAAAAATGTATTTACGAGTTGGAGAACGATGTCGAAATGATTGTCCTTTAACTTTAATACATTTTGGATGAAATTTTCTTGAACATTTTGACATTTGACATGCTATTAATTGACCTGTTAAACCGCAACCAAAACATGTATCAACATCTTGATCACCACTTATATTTGATGTACGTATACGATGTTTATTACTATGACGACCATTCGAAACTCCATTTGAATTAGATGAAAATGATAATGATGAATCAGGTAATGATGTAACCTAAAAATAATAGTTCGAAATTAGATTTAAAGCAAAATTTTTTAAGAAAAATATACTCCGCCAAGTTTTTTTGATCGACCCATAAAACCCGTACATGTTTCAGCTCCACAAAGACAATGAAATATAGTATCACCTCGAAATTCTGATTCAACACCATATTCAAATGTTAATTCTTCACCTAGAACAAAAAACTCTTTTTTTTCTATATTATATGTATATGTAATTACCAGCTTCAATAGCACGTGTAGCAAATAATCCAACACGTAAATCACCACTAATATTCCATTTTTCCGTACGTAAATTTGGATCACAACTATGATTTGCAAAACGTGATAGATTTCCACGTGGTCCAGCATCGATTACACTACAAAACTTTGTATTAAATATGTATTTTTAAAATAGTTTATTGAATTTTACCGATCTTTATCAAGTACGAGAAAATAAAAATCTTTGACATTATTTTTTCGAGCTAGTTTCACACGTCGTTCAGTTTCTTCATATGTTATTAATTCACCAACATATTCATTAACAAATTCGCCCTTGATTTTTCATAGAAAAAAATAAAATCAGTTTAAAGATTATTATTATTATATCCTTTACTTCTTTTATTGGCACTAAAGCTCTTAGACCCCACCCACGACCAGCCGTCCAAAATACTTGTTGAGCTGGATAATTACCTACATAGAAAAGTCATTATTAAAAAATTCTTCCTTATTAAACTAATAGGTAAACTTACGTTTTTGAAAACGCTGAATTATTTGAATAGGAAATATAAAAATTTAAATTTATGAAAATATTTTAAGAAAAAAACTATACCTGATTTTTGCATTTGTCTCCTAAAATATAAATAAACTATGATATAAAACCAGTCAAATAGATTCAATATTTTTATTGAAATTAATTGTGAGACAAAATAAATGACACATTCTATTTTATGATTTATACAGTCTGATCTTGAATTATCCTAATTAGTATTATCTCATATTAATAATAATGTAATATGATATTAATGCAAAGGTTTCAGATATCTAAATAAAGTAAAAATTCTGAGACAATGTTTCTGAACATATTTTAAAAACATCATTAGAATTTTACTACAAAATCTGTTTATCATAACGCAAATTGAAAAAAAAGGAGGTAAAAATTATTTCAACAATAAAACATGCTTAGATATAAATAGATTACATGATTATAATTCTGATAGAATATTAATAAGCTAACTTGTAATTAAATGGAGTTATTTTCAGACTCATGAGTATGGAATAGAGTTCAATGATATTCTATTTGATCTTCTTATTTACAAACGTTAAACAATCCTCTATTATATTCTTCAAAGACAAACCGATTTTCTCAAGTTTTTGCTCGATATTCTATCAATAAAATATTTGTTTGATGTCTTCCATTCACTTACGATATAAAAGGAAATATATCAATGTAAGACAAACGAATAAAATAATTGACATTAGAAGTACTATTTGAACTATATTATAAATATAATAAAATAGTTTTTTTTGTGAAGAAAAAGCTTTTGAAAGTGTACTTCATGAATCGATTGTACGTTTTTGTTGAAAAACTGAGTTTTTAGCGAAATCCTTTCTGATAAATTAGTCAATTCAGAACTGACATATTTCCAGATATAGGGTAATCGGTATAAGTAGAACAAAATTCTTTCCAAATGCATACAGAATTAGTGTATATTACGCTTCATTTAATCAAATCAGGTCTTCTTTTATAGCGAAAGTGTTTTTTTTAAAAGCGTCAAGAAGTTCGATATTAATATTTTACTTTCAAAAGAATTCTAAAATAAGAACATGTTAATTGTTCTATTATTAGATGGATTTAATCATGCAAATAGATAAGCATTTGTTCGTATTAATCCTATCAAATCTCATGTAACTTGATTGTAAAAGTGCATAGAAATATTTCGTTAACTAACCAGCAGCACAAACATGTGGATGACATTCATATTTAAGCATTCGATTGAGACAATGTTCATCTGAACTACATAGATCTGGTTTATTTGGATCACAATCACAACGTGATAAATCAGCTAATGGTAATCGAAGAATTTGAGCTTCACCAACTGGTTTTAAAGTCTATTTATAAGAAAAAAAAAATAAGAAATAAAATATAATTCATATAATATTTTACTTTAATATGTCTATAAGCAGGCATTTGTCCATGTTTATTAGCACTTCTATCAATTAATTTTGATCGTCCATTACTAATTGAAGTTTTTTCATGATCATTTGTTATTGATTCATCTGAATTCATATCAAGTGATTCATCATCAGTTTCATCATCATCATCATCATCTTCAAATTCATCATAGGCATCATCTAATGTCATTTCTTCAAGTTTAGTTGCTTCACCATAATTTTCGACAATATTTGTTTCATAAAACTGTTTTAATCGACTATAAAGACGTTTAGCATCTCGAAGACCTAAAAGAAAAAATGATAACATACTGAATTTTTATTTTATTTAAATTTTACCGTCTTTAAAAACTTGTTCAACATTAACATAATCACGTGAATCTCTCAATTTAATACAACGATTTTCAAATGCTAAACAATGATGTTTATTAGCCCAAAAAAATTCTTTTGAACCAAAAAAATGTACAAGAAATTCTCCAACTGTACGTTCTTGGGCAAGAAGATTATCTGGTGCATGACGTTCATGTAAAATTCGACTTGGCCAACATCTAATCATACGACAAATAAAACAATATATTAATTATTATCTTTTTCTAACCTGAATTTTCCCATTTTAATCCAACATATATCACCATAGAGTGGTTTTAAACCACTTATACAATTCTCACATTTCCAACTTTTAGTATTTTCATCATCTGTTGATGTTAAACATGACTGATGAATTGTTGATGGACATTCAACACAAATAAAATTTTCAGTTGTTCGAGTTGATTGTTCACATATATAACAATATGGAGCAGCACATGGACGTAATGGTTTTCGTTCACTTGGAAGATGAGTTGAACAGCATAGAGACGACGAATAAGATATCGATAAAGAACCAGCTGGTATACAACGTTCATGACCATGATAAGCTGTTGGACAATACAAACAAGTAAACAGATGACCTAGAATATGATTATTAACGATAGATTTTATTTCATTGTTGTAGTTTTTAATTTTGAATGATTTTCAATTTTATTGAATTTCGATTAATACAGAAATTACTTTCATAGATTATAATGTCAGATTTTTTTGATAAAATAGTATTTTCTTATTCTGATTTTTCTTCTATTATCATCCACAATATTTATCGAGAGTCGATTTTTTTTAGAAAAAACTCTGTATGTACGTAAAAACTGACCCAAAAAGTTTTGATACACTGTAGTAAAATTATTTTAACACTCGTATGATAAATCTTAAAATGCGTAAACTTAGATAAATTCTAATTAGATGAATGTTATTCTAAGTTTTCATATTTATGAATAAAACGTATAGAGTTACATGCTAGAATGTACTTTTTCCTTATGACCTAAAAATGATAACTACGAGAGATTCTCATGAAAGAAAACAAGAGAATTACTAAGAACATGTTGAATAGAATTTAATTAATATTGTAATGAGATATCAGAGAGTATATTTTTTCGAATTTCAGTAAATTTTACTAAATATCAATGATACTTTTCATTGACATTAATATTATAGTGTTTTTATATTATGAGATTCTAGCATAGAACTCCATATATCTAAGTTGAAGAATATTTAGATCACGCATTGAAATTAACGTATAAATAATATAATATAAACAAAAAACGAAGATACCTATATTATCATTAGGTCGTTTATGTAAACGACATGTTGCACAAACATGAAGAGGACAATAATATACATCCGATGATGGATTTGTGACTAAACTAGAATTAGTTAAACATGATGCATGATATATTCGATTACATTGATTAAATCCACATTTTAATTCATTATCAGTGATTAATTCTTGACATAAAGTACATATTAAACGATCTTAATATGAAAAATAAAGAACTAAGTTGTTTTCTATTAATTTCTATAGAATTTATTATACTTGCTAAACAATCGGGACAAATTAAAGTTTGTTGTTCATCAAAAACATTAACACATTCACGATGAAAATGATATCGGCATTTGCCTTGACATGGATGTGTATACGATGAAAGACCACAAATATGACAAGCAGGATTATATGCTATTTCTTGTTCTTCACCATCACTTTCATACTGAAAACAAAACGATTTATACTAATTTTAAGAAAATAAAATTTACTTCTTCATCATCGTCTTCTTCTTCATCATCATCCATTGGTATACTATCAATAGGTGGTGTTTCATATTCAATAGATAAATTCATATCTGATGATGTTTGCTGTTTCTTTAAAAAATAAACAAAAAAATTCAGTCATTTATTATATAACTATAAATGATTTCTTTTACATTTCCATTTAATAATTCATTTGTAGTAGTTGTTGGTACTGTTGATTCAATAGATGTACGATGAATAGGCATCTAAAAAGTCCAATAAATACAATAAATGTTTAAAATTAATTTTAGTTTGTCCAAAAATCTATATTATAAAACGATCGAGTCGAGTCAAACTAAAAGCAGAATAAGTGGGACACTGTCATAAGAAGTAAAAGATGTTTCTTTCGTTCAATTAACAACAAATACTCTTCTCATCAGTGACATCTATATTTATTTTCACTTGGTAAATCATTCCGAAAGAGATTTCAATATTTTTCTTTATTAGAATAAAACAAAGAACAAATATAGTACATTCTTTTCACAAAACGAACTAGTTTTTCTTAATAAACATTATCGAGAAGGCTATTGTTTTAGTAATGAAAATAACGATGCTCGATCAATGTATAATACCCTTCTGTCTGATTTGGAATCGAATATTATTTCTTCCTAATCCACTGATTTTTATCTATTAGCAAATGCAAATTCTTCCACATAACAAAGGATTTTCTTATATTTATGAGATATTTGAAATAATTAAAACTATAAAATTAAAAACTTCAGTAAATATCAAAAAATAAAGATCTGGGCATCATTGTAATCATGATAGAAACATTTCATGAATTCTATTCAAAACAAATAGATAATAATTCAGTCATATAATACTATTAAAATAAACTTTGAATTGCTAAATTGATTGCCGAAGTAAATGAACTTTTATTACAATCAAATTCAATATTAGCATTATCAGCCAATATTTCATTTATGAGTATATCGTGCGCATATCTTCTATAAAACTAATTGTTACTTTCATAAGGCACCTCTTGCAGTAAATAAAATTGTTTGGCTCAAAGAAAAAATGTTCATTATAACTTGCAAAGAGAAAATAAGGAAAAGAATGAATCACATACGCGACCAATCGTAACACCGTAATGGAATCACCTGTATTTGTCTGTCAAGAATTTTTCTTTTCTTGTAACACAAAACCAACAACCATTTTAGAAATAACAAGTTTGATTGATTATAATAAAGCTTCTTAAATATTTTTTTAATAAACATGCAAACGATCTTCATCGAAGAAAATCTCAATCATCAACAAATAAATGATCTTTGTAAATTAATTGAATCAAATGTCTGTAAATCATTAGAATTTCGTCGATGTTTAATACTGGATCCGTAATATTAATTTACTTTTTTTTCTCGGAAAAATATTTATATATTTTTTTGTCTGATATTCACTTAGTGATTTTGATGAATTAATGAAAAGTTTATCACATCATAGTAAAACAATTGTTTCACTTATTTTCAATATTCAAATGATTCATGAACAAAGACGTTTTAAAAAATTTGTTCAAATGCTATCATCCTGTTCAAATCTTATTAATTTACGGTAATAATAAAGTTTTTTTATTTTGAATAGAAACAGCTTGAATATCATTGTAATAGAATTCATGGTAATAATATAAATGATGATATGTTCACTCAACTCTACTCAGTTTTATATGAAAATTGTTCGAAATTAACTTTACTAGATATTGGAGATAATAAATTGACAAATAAATCTATCGTTAAAATATGTTCATTAATTATTCCGAATGAAAAACGAGCAGGTAAAACTTTTTTTTACGATCATAAAATTATTGTATTTCTTATTTAGGTCTAGAAGAATTAATTTTAAGTGCTAGTCGAACGATTACAAACGCGGGTTGGACTGAACTTTTCTTTTCAATATCTTTTAATTCTCGAATTCGACGATTAGCACTTGATTATAATATTATGGATAATGAAGCGGCAGCAATGCTTAGTATAATTATTACATCAAGGTAATATTCGAAATTTTACGTTTACACTATTTTTATTTGTATTTTTATTTAGTCGAACGTTAACTTGTTTAGATTTAGAATGTTGTAATCTATCAGAATATGCTGGACAATTATTTCTTACTTTATTTACTAAATATCCCGTAAAACTTCAAGAATTTTATCTTGATAAAAATCCATCAATTTCAAATTCAACTCGTACATTAATCAATGAATGTCTTAATTTAAAATCACGACAAAATTCTATTTCAAATGACCAACCATTATTATCTCATCGTTTATCATTACATGATAATAATTCATCAAATACGAATAGTATTATAAGTGAAAATAGCCAATCAGTTAAATTAAAAAAGAAAAAGAGAAAAAGTATTTTAAAAGAACCTTCAAAAAATGTTATGAGAGAAGAAACAAAATCTGTTGGTTTCAATCAAATAAACAAATCAGAAAAACCAATCGAAACAAAAAAAGACGAAGAAGAAGAAATCGAAGAACTTTTACCCGTTGAAATTGAACCATATGGTACCGTAGGACGTATGCCTTATTGGCGTCGTACATAAACAGTATTCTATGCAGATATATTTGGTATGCTTTCTTGCTTACAGTTAAAGAATATTTATGGTTTTCTTTTGGCTAATTGTATACGTTTGTCAAATATTAATTCAAATAAAATAAATCTAATAATCACATATTGTCATCAATGAATCACAGAAGTATTAATCATCATCATACTCAAATCTCGATAATGTAAAGAAGGAGCTATAAATCCTATCATAATGTATTTCAGTACATAGTTTCAAGTAAATATAGTCGCTTGTATCGAATAACCTTTGAGTTATATCTGGCATTATTCTACTAGAGATTCATTCAGCTGTACTTCCTATGTAATTACGTTAGTATAAACTCTGTCGACCTATAGTTATTTAAAATTTCGATTTATAACATTTACTTGAGTGTTATCTTTACAGTCATTGATCTTATCATGTTTTTTTTATACTTGAAGTAAAAATATTTAAACTAAACGACCTATGAATAATATACAGGAAGAACTTTTTTTCTATCATAAACTTTTCTTTTTTACTTTATATTACAAGGTTGTGATTCATATTTTTACTCTATGAAACACATACACGTAATTTATTCTACAATAAATATGATTATAATAAAAGCAGTCTTCTATGTCCTTAAGAAAAACATTTACATAAAAATTTTCTTTCAGCATGTTAACTAATACCTTTTTTTCTCTTCCTTATCGAACAACGTGAATACATAGAAATATTTTTATTTCGTTAGTTTTTTCATATACTTCATATGTTATGTCGAAACACATGGCTTGAATCGTTATACTTATTCATACAAATCAAAAGATTGTTTTTTTTTGTTGTCATTATATCTTATTTATTTTCAAATGAATAAAAATGATGGAGTATAAAAAAAGAAAATGACACAGACAAACTATAACACAGAAGTCTATATCTGAGAAAATATTATGACAAACATTCCGTAGAATTTTTTTACAAGGATTCTTTGTGTGCTTCGGCTTTAGCTTTGTGAGATTTTTCTTCAATCTTGTCACCAACAGCTGAAAATCCAGCACCAATACGTTCACCAACTGTATTGTCTGAATCTTTTACTTTTTCTTTGTTGGCTTCATAAGATGCACCGCTTGTTACTTCTATAAAGATAAAAAAAACAATTTAATTCTTATACATATATAAGTATTAGTACAAACCTGAAACTTTTTCAGCAACAAAGTTATAAGCATTGGAGATTGTGTCACCAATTGAACCAATGACACCTCGTTCTTCAGCAGCTTCTTTGTGTCCTTCTTTCTTAGCTTCATGGCCTTTTTGTTCGACTAGATTATAAAGAAAGATTATTCTTTTATTCTTTGTAAATATACAACTATATACCTTTGTCTTTAACAGCATCGACACCATGGCCAATTCGGCTACCTGCTGATAAATTATCATTCTTGGCTGCTTCTTTGTTAGCTTCATATGAGGCACCACTTGTCACTTCTTTAAAGATGAAAAATTATTTATATATACTTTTACTATTTCATATAGATATAAATTTTCTTACCTTTAGCTTTTTCTGAAACAGCGCTAGCAGCATCTTTAATGTTTTGCATGATTGCTTGATTTGTTTAACGTAAAGTAGAAATAAATGTAAGGATAGTTAAATTCGCTTGTAAAGTGAAGAATATCTTGCAAATGTTTGACTATATATACCCTCCCGGCCGTCGAATTCTTTCTATTTTTAGAAGAAAAAGAAGCAACGAGAAGAAATAAAATATATAGTCAACTGAATAATAGTCTACATAGAGTATATTCATCAAAGACACGTGATTGGTACATACAGTACAAGGATAAATGACTACACATACCGGCGTAATAGTCACAGAACGGACAAAAAAAAAAGAAAAGTATGTGCGCCATTTACTATTCGACTTCTTTTAAATGAATCTAAACTTGCCTATTCAAACTCCTCCATCTAAACAATGTTTCTTACGTTAACAAGAAAAAGTTCGGCGGATTTTCATGAATAACCTTTTTTCTTCGATACATGTACACGTTGAATTAACAAAAATTTTCATACAGAATAAAATTTAAAAGTATGTCGAATCTGTTTCAAGATAATAATAAAGATTAAATCGTGTGTCATCATTTTTGTACTTAAAAATTTATTCAATACATTACTATCGTTAATTTGCTTATCTTTCATATTAATCTATTCTTTCTCAGAAACCATATATCCGACAAATCTATTTAAACAGCGATACATATCTTATTGTAAATCATTCATAATCAATAGTTTGACTGATTTTTTGGTCGTTTTAATGACTTGAACATTGCATAATACATGTAAGCGTTAGCAACAAAATTCTTTGTGAATGCTATTTGAATATGTTTGTATATATTACATTGAATTGTTCGGATTGTTGAATATGAATACCTCTTCAAAACTTTTCGATAAGTGTCATTCATATTGAAAAAGGAATATTTTACAAGTAATTCGAAACCTTCAGAATTAAAAACTAAAGAGTGTCTCAAAAACTTTTGTTCACTAAAGTATCATCGGATATATTTCTTGATTTTGAAAGACATTTCTATAGTCGAGAAATGTAAGTACAAGCCATTATTTGAATATGAATACTTTAGTCGAAAGTGGACTTGGAATACCAATGGAAAATTACAAGAATAATATACATAGGCGACTATGTGTAATTTTCATGTATTATCGTTTAAAGAAACTTTCAAATTGAGCAGAATTTTAGATAACGCAGATGGTATTTTGTTCTACTTGATTTTTACGAAAAGGCTTATAAATCGGTTGAGAAATCTTATCGCTTACCTAGGATTGTTTCATAATAATTCTCAAACCCAAATACCTTCGATCTATTATAAAATATGAAACTTTACTGAATTTTTTTGAATTTTTAAAATTATCTAATGTAAGATACATCTTGCATGAATGACATGCCTTTCAAATACCTAAAGGGTAAAATGTGATGACTGCTTATATTTATAAATAAAATTACATTTTTGACAAACCGTGTAACTTAGATGCAATGTATATACAGATTTTATTAATATATTCATCAAATTTTTCTTCTAATTTACTGGCTTTTAGACGTATATTTTCAATATCAGGAATTAGAAGAAATTCACTCACACATTCGCATCGAACCATAGGAAAAGAAAATGGACAGCTTTATAATACTATGACGGTTTTTTAAGCAATTTTTGAATTCCGAAAATCTTAGACTTTTTTCCACTTGTCTCCGGCAAAATCCTGTCTTTATAGTACAACAAACAAGACTGGAAGTCATTGAAAAAGTTCGTCACTTTCTCGACTGGATATATAGTTTCTGCTTTCTATCGATTCTTGGAGTTTCTCTCGTAGAAACAGACATTTTCTTTCAACTTTCTACTCGGTTTCAGAGTTTAAAATCATCATAGAGGATAACTCTACAATGTTTCCTTGCAGAGACTTCATCAATATTGCAGATTAATTTCTGTTTCATATTATTTGCCTACGAATATTCCAAACTATTGTATTCGATCGAATAGATAACATATTTCAACGACTCCAACATTCTGAATGTGATACAATGTTTGATCATTTAAACATTCTCATCCTTTTCCCATCATCTATTCGCGGTAAATCATGACACGATTTATAATGAGGAAATAATAAAAACTATATGAAGAAATTTTCAAAAAAGTAGAGTCTCTCAAATCAAATCCGACTCGATTCGTTTTCAATCTCTGATATTTATATTGAATCGTAGATGATATCCTTTATAAAGAAGAGATCTATGAATTGTATGAATTTCTTCAGCACATGACTTTTACAAAATATTCTTTACAATAATAAATAAAATATTTGACTATATTTATTATTGCTATCTTTCCCGCAAATAAATAAGTCTAATGTCTACAATATTTAATTTATTAATTAGATTTTATTTCACAAATTTTTATTTATTTAGTAGAAAAATAGACCAAAGATTTTTTAAAACACGGTAATGATAAAAAAACTGATAGTTAATTTTACGCATTTGGTCGTTTTTTAGCAAGAAACATTAAAGCATATATAACTGCTGATATAAGAGTAAAATAGGCTGCAAAAACTTCTATAACAAAAGAGTAACCAAGTGCAGTAGTAAAATTGTCTGGATTTAATTCACTATCTATATTTGTATCATTGAGTGAAGATGAACTGATATCTATTAGAAACAAAGAAAATAAATTTTTAATAATCGTTGTTGCAAGATTTTATTACTTACTGTATGCGTATGCTTTTAATCTCCAATCAACAATGTAATCTACATCTTCAATTTCATTTGTACCTGTTAGCAAAAGAATGGCAACCATGCTAACAAATGCTATCACTAATGAAATAAATCCATAAGGTATAAGCCATTTTAGGATAAAATCATGTTCAATATAACTCGCAAAATGACCGGCAATGATCATCAAACCAAGTGTAACACTTGAAATTATAGTCAATCCAAGAATAGCTTTCGTACTTGCTGGATAACTAAAAACAAACATTTTTATTCGCATTAACAGTATAATTGTACCACATATACATTAAACAATAAAAATTATGTTAAACAAAATATTCTTTCAAAGAGAGAATATTTTAATTTAAAAATAAAATTTCATCTTCATCTTTACGTAAAACAAGATACACATATATTCCTAGAGGGAGGCATTTTATATCTAGTAATTATGTTTTTTACTAGTATATTACAGAAGTCTTCAGATGAAATTCTATTCTAGAATGTATATTTCGTTGTTTTGTTACTAACCATAGAGAACACTTTTAATTATTACATTGTTTTTAGTAGATTCGCAAAAGTTATAAACTTAGAAATAATAAAAAAAACTAAATCTTCAGTCAATACTAAATTCCTAGTTTTTCGTACTACCTATATGGGGCAAAACCTCCACTTGATTTTTGATTATAATTAGATCATCTTAACGTTATTGAAAGATTGTAAATTTCCATTAACATTTCAATAAATAAAAGAATAAATGGCATGATTCTAAGCGAATCTATAGATGCTTGCAAGTAATAGTAACTTATGTTACACATTAATTCAATATAGAACAGTCATATATATCGATCTAATATATAAAATATACTTTACGTCTATTTTATATATTGCATGTTAGAAATCATATGATTTTTTTGAATTTAATAAATTTCTTCTAGAAAAGAATTGATTGATATATTAAAAGTAGATTCTTTAGATTTGCTAGAAAGGTTCATGATTAAGACCGATCAATTTTTTCAAGAATATAGAAAACAAAAAAAATTCTGTGAAAGAAATCATCTGGATTATATGTATATATATGTTAGCGGCCAATGTGAGATTACGTCCAATCTGAGATTGGCCTAGGCCAATCTGATATCCATTTTTCCAATTTTAAATTCGCCTAGGCGGATGTAAGATTGGCCTAGGCGAACCTTGGATCGAAAAATTAGACTCACATTGGACTAGGCGAATATAAGATTGGCCTGACTGTCACTCCCACCTCACCCTCACTCTTATCATTGGTGTTTACTATCGTAAAAAATGAAATTTTGGTTGATCTTAGATTGGCCTAGGCGGATCTTAGATTGGCCTGAATCCCACTTTGGACGCTAACATATATATACTTAATGAGTGTATATTATGCTTTTTGACAAGGCATGTCTTGTAAACTTACTCGCATTGGCATAGAGTATGATTATATTCTTTACTAGTGCATGCATTGTGAGGTCCAATTATTTTATTTCCTAGACATTCACCAGTATAATCTTCAATTTTTGGAAGTAAGTATTGATTTGGTACACAAATATAAACAGTAAATGGATCATGTATGATTTCGCTAGAGTCATTCGTAATGTTCAGATAATTAAGCATGGATACTCGATAACATCGGTCTGTAATTGATGATCTCCATTCCTTAAAGTAATATCCAACTGTACAGTTCTTGCACTTAATTGATTTCCAATGATCCAATGATATTGCGACAAGATGAAGAGTAATAGCGACAATAATCAATCCAAGACCAACACTACCGAGTCGATGAAAACGTTGCATTTTGTTTTTAAAAAGATAATCTATAAAATATGATTGAATAAATAAATATGAAATCTTTATTTAAATAGTTTACAACATATAAATAATATCTACAAAATAAATAAAATCGAATAATTTTTGTATATTAGTTCTATTTTGATTTTTTTCTAAATATAAATAATAGAAATAGTATAAACGGAACGTATGTAACCAATCAATGTCTATCTATTACAAACTGTTCAATGTGTCATCAGTCAAAACAATTCTCAATACTTTTTCTTGATATTAAAACTTGCTTAGTTGTATCATTGTATCTAGATAATTTTAAGGTATGAAAACATTCAATATATAACAGAATAGTTTCTATCTGAATCATATTGTTGCATATTGAGAATTTCGTTTTTAGTAAGTGTTTTCTTGTTATGGTATAAAATTGATATGATAATATAGTCTTACCCTCTTAGAAAGATAATTTTGCTTGCTTTGTCTAAACAAAGAATGAGTGACTTGACGTTCCAATCGAATGATTATTATTCATGTATGTTTATTATGCGTATTTGTAAATGATGCAAAGAAAAAAGAAGAAAAGAACGAAAAACTAATATATGTGATTGATCAAATTTTTATGTATCGATATAGGCTATAATAAGTCACGTTTTTTAATGATAAATAACGTCGAAATACTCACCCCTGTTTTTTTATCTCTAATGAAATGAAATTAATGCATCGGGCAATTATCACATTTCTTATATAGAACAAAACAAAATATTAATATATATATATATTCATGATTCTCGAAAAGTATATCAAAGCAATTTATGTCTTGTATAAATTAAATGATTTAATTACTTTTAAAAAACTATAGAACAACATATTCTTCTAAATTTTACGTTGTGTATTTTTCATTGAATGTTTGTATATACAAATTTTCAAATGTAATTAGTTTTATTATTTCAAAAGTAGAAGTAAAATGTATTAGGAATATCTTTCGATTAATTTATCAAATAGAATAAAGTAATAAATCGATGATACTCTAAGAAATCTACAATTACTACAGCAGAATAAAACGACGAAACTCATAAGGCACTTGATACATATGTAATGATTCGAAGATTTATATTACAGACTTTATACCGAGATTTTATTTCAATAACATTCATTATTGCTCTAAGCTAACATTCTATGAACAGAATGATTTTGTTCTAAGAAGATAAACTTGTAACCATCAACAGAAGTTCTCTTGACATACAAAATTTGCATACTGTTTTCTACTGCCATCTTTTTCATTTATTAATAAGATTATGTTTATGATAAAATTCATCTCTAACTTTATACGTAGAATAATAATAGTTAAGAATAATTTCAAATAAATTTTATTAATTTAATTGGAGGACATAGACTTGACAACATGGCATATTGAACGATAATATACTTCAATCTTGAACTTGTCCACTTAAAACTCTTCTTGTTCAATTATTAATCATTCCAATTTCAATGGTAAAATAAACAAGAAAATATTTATATAACATTGAAATTATTTATTTATTTATTTATCATAACCAGGCTACAACAACAAATCAAATGAAACGTCCTGCAGTCGGTGGTACAACTAAAAAACGTACAACAGGTTCTCGACCTGACTTAACTGAAGAACAAAAAACAGAAATTCGTGAAGCATTTGATTTATTTGATGCTGATGGTTCAGGTACAATCGATGTTAAAGAACTTAAAGTAAAATAAGTCAATATAATACTTCAATAGACTTATATATTATTTCAGGTTGCAATGCGAGCATTAGGTTTTGAACCGAAGAAAGAAGAGATCAAAAAAATGATAACTGATATTCAAAAAGAAAATGCTGGTAGATTAAATTCTATGATCATATTTGAAATTCTTTAGATTATTTCATATATAGGTACAATTGATTTTAATGATTTTCTTCAATTAATGTCTCATAAAATGGCAGAAAAAGATTCGAAAGAAGAAATATTAAAAGCATTTAGGTAATTAAATAAGATCTTTTTTATCATTATTGATTTTTGTTGTTTTTTTTAGACTTTTTGATGATGATAGTACAGGAAAAATTTCATTTAAAAATTTAAAACGTGTTGCAAAAGAATTAGGTGAAAATTTAACTGAAGAAGAATTACATGTAATCTATCGAAAAAATCTATATTGTCAAAAATAAAAATTTATATATATATATTCTAGGAAATGATTGATGAAGCTGATCGTGATGGAGATGGTGAAATAAATGAGCAAGAATTTTTACGAATTATGAAAAAAACATCATTATATTAATTATATTTTTCATTGATTTGTTGTTGTGTAACAATTTCTCTTTTATTTATTTGTCAGGTATATTCAATTTATTCTATTTGAAATAAAAAAAATAAAAATATAATAGAGAATGAATGTATATATTTCTTTCTTTCTTTTTTTCCGTTTGTATATATATATATATATACATGAGTATATGCCATTATTTCATACATTCATTAATGCGGAACGGTTTGATATATGAATGCATAGACATAAAGATAAATTTGCCGGTTTTTTTTCACTATCATGCTCGTCGATCATTTGCAATAAGTATCAAATGATAGAAAAAACGTTTATCATTGCTTCCTTAATTTGTCAAAGGAAAAAAAAAGGTGACTGTACAGGTAAATAGTAATGCGTAGTCATCATACGCATTGCTAATCGAACATATATTTGTAAACTTGATTTTCTTTAGTTAACAATACAGGATTATTATGGGCAGTAAACTAAGTCGATCATCATCAAGTCGATCTGAAGGAACGAAAGTTAAATGGAGAAAAGGTAAACGAAAACGATCAGAAAAAATAGAAACATCAGCTAGTGATGATAAATTTCTTACTCAACGTGATCATGGACAAGAAAATACGAATGGAAATCTAGATAATTCGTATGAAAAATGGAATAAAGTGATTGATCAACAAGAATTAACAAATTATAATGGTAAGATTTTATTAGCATAGTTAAATATGCATTATTATTAAAAAAATGTTTAGTATAAGTTATTATTTTCAGTAGATCCACCCGGAGCACCAAGCACATATTCAGCAAATTATCAAATGAATCAAAATGATTCACGAGACCGAACATGGTCATCACCGCTTGATATGACTAATCAGTATTATCAAGGTAACTCACATTCAATGATGACAACATCTAATATTCCATATGATATGAACCAATATGTTCCTCCTGAATTTCAAACATCATATAATAATAATCAATCTCAACAAGTATCTCTTGACGAACGACCATCAAAAAAAGTACAATTTGCTCGTCAAACTCAACAACAACAACAACAGCAACAACAAGCTGCAACTAGAACTCCTTTAACTAATACTCGATCATGGCATGAACTTAGTGCTTCAAGTAATGATAATTCTTTTGCAACAGGTAGACAAGAACCAGCATTAGGTCGACAATCTACACATCGATCAGCTATGCCAGTATCTAATGCATCATTTGTACAAAAACCTATTTATATTGGTATTGATCATCAAGCAACATTAGCAGAACGTGGTCAAACAACAGTACATAAACGTCAACATAAATCTAGTGATAAGAGTAGCTTAGATTCATCCGTTCCAACGACGAATCGTCATCGAACACGTACTCATACACATCATCAACATAAACACCAAGATATGAATGATTCATCACCAACAAAATTCCAGGTACATTCAAATAAATCTGTTGATCGTTTAGAAGGAAAAGGATCAGGTGTACATCGATCATTAACAACAACGTCAACATCAACAATTATAGCAAATAGACAAGCACAACAAGTAGAACAACCAATATTTAATGATACCGAAATGAGAATACCTAAAAGTAGAAATAATCGTCAAGTACAATCACAACATTTAGAACAACAATCACTTGTTGATAATGAAATAAGACCATCAAAAAGTCGAGGAACTCATTCTCAAGGAAAACAACAACAATCACAGCAGCAGCAGCAGCAGCAGCAGCAGCAGCAGCAGCAGCAGCAGCAACAACAACAACAACAACGTGTAACAGTTAGCCGCACTAATTCACCTTTACGAACAGACGCGACAAGACGTCAAGATAATAAACATCAAAATGGACCTATTATGAGAATACCTATATCACAACAACATCGATCAAAACAATCGTCAACACCGTCAACAGGAACTAATACTCCACCAGTTACTCGAACACGTGTATAAACTTTAATATTTATTAAAAGAAAAATCTTTTTATGATTAAACATGTTTGGAAAATTGTCTTTGATAATAGACTTCTTATAATTTTTCCCAACCATCTGCCAATGGCTGAACATATAAATGATTTTCTTTGTTTTCATTGTTATTTCTATAATGAACTTGCCATTTTCGATTATCACCTTTATACATCATAACTAAACGATTTTGCATTTCACTATCAAAATCTTTTAATGTTTGATTTGAAGTTATAACAGGCGTTGTAAATGATGCATCTGATGGATAATGTTCATCACCTGGCAAAACTAATAGCATTGCCTCTGGTATTTTATAACATACAGCTAATATTCGTTCAGTTCGATATTTTGGATCGTTTTCACGTTTAATTAAAAATTCATGTAGCTTTGAAAGTTGTCGAAAATTAGCTAGACGAGCTATTTCAATAATTTGTGGTGGTAATAAAGTAATAGAACCTTGACGATATCCATCAAGAACAATATCTGGCTCTAACCACTAGAATACAAAACTTTATTATATTAAATTTATATTATTGATTAATAATCATACATCAGCACAAACAGTTTCGTCATCATCAGCAGCAATGGAACATGAATATATTTGTGGTAATATTGCAGTATAGAATATCGTATCGAAACGTACTTTAGCAATTGCAGCAGCTAAAAATTGATTCCATTCATATAATGAATGAACATCTGGTTCAACTTGTATTTCTTTACACATAGCTATAAATTGTGATGCATCATTACGTATTTTATCACGCCATTCATGCATAATATTGTCTGATAAATTAAATATTGTAGAATATCTGATTATAAAATAGATGAGAATCGTAATAATTGTAGATTGTCTTACTGTGAGTTTGAAGATGTACGTGTTTTAGCAAGTAAAAGACCAGTTTCTTCAAATGTTTCTCGAATAGCACAAAGACGAAAGACAAGGCCAGGATAAGGATGATCGATATCTTTGTATATATCAGCTTTTTGCTTAGAAAATCGATCAATATTACTCAATGATGAAAGATATTCAGGCCATTCCAATGACAAATCACAAGGATCCAATTTACCACCTGGAAAACTGTAATAAATAAGAGTAAAAATTTTATACAACTAATTTGAATTTCTATAAAAACTGTAGACATCTTGAAGTTTATAGCAGATAGTATGTACCTTTTAGGATAAACTTCTTCAGCAATTCTATCTTATGACTCGAAGCTTTTCTTTCTTTGTGACGAATGTTGAGGATTTCACTTCCAAGGATTGTAAGCTCATCTGAAAATCAAAATCTTCCATATAATCATTCGCACATGTCTAGCCACACCCAGATCATAAATCAACATTCATAACAAACAATTGAATGTATCATTAGAAGTACGAACAAATCTAATCAATTGTTTTAAAACATTTTCAACTCGAAGAAGAAATTCAAACTATCACTCATGCATAGAATAATTAAGATTCTAACTCAAGTTCTATATTTGAGCAGATAAATCCCTTCACCTAGCTTTTCTATATTATTCTTACGTTGATGCATTCGGTGCAAAACGCATTTTTGGTGAACGTTTCAAGAATAATGTTGAATAATCAAACAGACTTTTGCCATTATTAATATGAATCTGTTTATTCGCATGTAGCATTAATGAAGCCGATTGTCGCCATGGAACCATATTTTTAAAAAATCTTGTTTTTCAGTTTAAAATTTATATATCATCCCAAACAAACAAAAAACAAATCGCATACAAATTAATTATAAAAAAGAAGAGAAGGAAAAAGGAAGAAGTTAAACTTTTGTTTTCTATCATTATGTTTTTTTTTCATCTTAAAATACACACACACAAGCATGCAAAAGCAAAAACAAATTAAAAGAGAAATATTACTAAAACTAACAAAAGAATATGTTTAATTTTAGATTTGTACAAAAAAAATTCAAAAAAACATGTTTATTTTAGTAGTTTTTCTTTGTATTCAAAATTGCACTAATACTGACATATCTATATGTTTATTTCAAACAATGTTATTTATGTACTTTCATTTGAATCTTGTTCAGTATGACCATATTTAGCTAAACGTATTGCTTTAAGACGATTTCGTGCTTCATCTAATTCACGTTCTTTGGTTAAAATAACTTCTTTACATTTAATTTCTTGTGCAATGCCTGGTACAACACGCATTGATACTTCAAAATATTTATCTTCACGTTGCATTTCAACAGCATGTTGAGCTGATCGTACAAGCGCATCAGCAGCGCGTTTTACAGCATTACCAGCAGTTTGTAAACGTGCCTGTGATTGACTCATAAAGTCTGCTTTAACTTTACAAGCAACAAGTAGAGCAGCCGTATTTGAACTAACTTGTTTTGCACTTGATATTAGTTTTTCTTCAGTACCATAACCTTGAACAAGTCCATTAGCAGCATCACATAATACATGACATGCTGATGCGACATAACGTGCCTAAAATAAAATAACAAAAAATAAATGGAATTTTCAAAAGAAAAAGAGCAATTGTACCGCTGAAATTAATCCTTGAGACCATTGACCATCTTCTTCTGAACCTGATTTTGATGAAAGCTAGAAGAAAATAATATTATTCATCTCCGAAATCATTAGTATATAATTATCAATTAATTAATTAGCTATTTTGTTTTGTTTGTTAAGCGTGCATTTTATTAGTCAATTTATGTGTATTAGAATAGAAGCAGAAGCTAAAGGAGCGAAAGCATCAGAATTTAATAGCAGTTTAATTTGTCTTTTTTAGATATATATTATTAACCAAAAGCATATAAAAGCTCATGTACCTATCCAATACAATTTTCAACAATCATTTTTCCTATCTTTTAAATTAAATATAATTAAGAAACTGAATTGAATCATTGAAGATGTATATAGAGGAAGAGAACGAATCTATTATTGAAAAAGTGTTCATTGTTGATTATAATAATACATCCTATCTCAAAATAATATTCGTTTTTTCCCATAATATCATGAATAAAAATTTCTTTATAAACTACAGAATAATCTAAATTTGTATAAAAGAATAAGAAGCAGAAAATAATAAGCGTATATGAACTACGTGCACAAGATAATCTAAATAACTACATATGACGAAACGAACAACATAGATATATATATAATTGATGTGATACCTGTGCAGGCGAAGTGCCTTTATTGATGGTGGATACTGAGAAAACATTTTTAGGCAAAAATGGATTGGTGCGTGTCTAAAATATTTGTCATCGCTATTTATATTTTTCATTCATTTTATTCTAATCAAAGCAAATCCTGTCATTGTTTTATTTTTTTGATCAAACAAATTCTATCTCTAATTGAATAGCTAATCCAACGAAGACAGAAACAATCACTACTACTAATATAACTTACTTTTACTTTTGATGCAATTTCTTTTTGTGCCGATGTTGCTGCACTTATTAATGCACCAGCTGCATTCATTATTGATTTAGCAGCTTCAAGAATTTGTTCATCAAAATTAAGATTATCATCTATTTCCTGTAGAAATCAAAAGTTATTTATTTATTTATTTTAAATAAAGAATCAAAACAAATAATCGTCGAATTACATCAGCATAACCTGAAACGTATTGCATGACAGCCTAATACATAGATACATATTCATGTATGCATATAGATAAACACCTTATGAAAAAAATTAATAGCTCGTGTGATCAAGGTTGCTATTTCGAACAAATACGAAAAGCTTTATTTTTCTTGTCGTCTTCTTCAAATAGAAACCTTGATCACACGAGCTACTTATTTTATTCAATAAGGTTTGCAAAATCATCTATAAATTCATACATAGATATGTAAATAATGCTTTCTGTCATGAAATACGTTTCATATCAGACTGACTACATAATAAATAAGCTGCAAAAGAAAAAAAGTATATATATAGATAAATAAGGTAAATTGTGCTGATATGAGCAATACTCGGTTGAATTATGAATCAAACAACCAAATATCAAACATATCATGACAAGAAGCCTTTCAATATTTTGTCTTAATATATAACATAAAGAAAAGAATCGGTTTATCTACTTTAGGTTTTCGACGTGGTTTAAGACTGGATAATTTTTTTGCTGCTGATTCAATTGATTGAGCTGCATTGAATAATTCGTTTTCAGCAATATATGTTGGATCATCTGGATCTATGAAATCAGCACCTATTCAAAACGAAGAAGAAAAAAATGGAAATAAATTTTACACTTCATATTATTTACCTTTTAATTGTTTAGCACATTGAACAAGTTCTTGTGTTGATTGTGCAATCATTCGTGAATAATTAAGTAATTTTTGTTTTGTTTCATTCGATGGTTTTTGTATTAATATATGTATTGTTTCTAATAATTCTTTATAATGTTTAATACATGATTTTCCACTATCTAATGTACGTTGTTGTAATGCTTTATCATCAGTTGTATATGCACTTGATTTACAAGTAAATAATAAATCGGATGCAGATTTACGACCTAAATTAGCTGCAGCTATAATATCTTCCTGTCGGCATGATTGACCTGCTGCTACTGCTTTAGCTGTTGCTATTGTTATCTATAAATGAAATGAAATAAAATATATTTCTTCTAATATTTATTTATTTTATTACTTGTTTAGTAACACGAATTAATTCTTCAGGTGTTGTTTGATTTGGTGGTATATGACCATTATTAAATAAACGAAGTTCTTGAGCAATTGATTCAATAGTTGCTTCCAAAGCATTTGTACCACGTTGAGCTTCATCTTCAACAGATTTAACTGTACGTAATAATGCTGTCACATTTGTCACCATAACTTTCGCACTTTCCTTTAATTTTAACATTTCTGGATCATCAATTTGTTTACCACTTGCAGTTTTTGTAACATTTATTAAATTATTTAATGCTAAAGCAACATCTTTAACACTATTGATAAGCATTACTTGAGCTTCACCATCGTCAGCACCTAATGATGCCGCACCCATTTTAACCACTTCAGCAAGCTGAAATAAAAAAAAAATAAATAGAATAGATTTTATTAATATATAAAAACTCTATTGGTGATTATTATATCCAATGAATTAAAAAATGTAAGTTTCAAATTTTTTATGAAATTTACTAATAGAAAATATTTTTTTATTACAATGGATTATTCATATGAATAGCGATGTCAATTCGAAAAAACGCAAAATATTTATGAAGACTCATTATTTTTCATATACAAATATTGACTGATAATATAACAAGAAACTTCTGTTAGATTTCTATCGAATGTGATTAAACTTACAGAACGCATGCTTTTATATAAGATTTCACGATGCTTATCGATAGAATTAGGTGACGTATTTACTTAATCATATATGGGAAAAATTCCAATGTAAAATCCAGAGTAAGGAAAGAAACAGATATGATAAACATATATGAATAATACCTTTACGTCATTACCTGAAGGTGCATGTCATACTATAATTGCTTAGAACATCGTATAATCGATATTATCTACGATATGTTTTAAAAATAACATAATTATTTTTTGATGTTCTTTTGCCTTGAAATTTTTTCGATGATATGATTATCATATTACCTTTGTTATTGTTCGAACAGCTGCTTGTGCTGCTGATGCTAATTGTTCTTGTGATGATGCAGCACCGGCTACTAATGTTTTTGTATCTTCAACAAGTGCTTTAGCTGTTTTTAGAATAGCTTCACGATGATCAGCAAATGTTTCACCATCAAATTCAGAATTTAATGTTCCAGCAGTTGCAAATAGAATTGTTGTATCCTTTTTATTTTATTAAATAAAAATTAATTAAATTTTTCTATCGAATATAAATAATTCTTACTAAATCAGCAATTATTCCACTAACTGTACTTGCAGCATTAATACAAGCTTGTGTACCACGAGCACTTGCTTGTAAAGCAGCTAAAACATATGAAATCTAAATAAAATAAAAATTATTTAATTTCTTTTTGTTTTGAACTAAAAACAAAAAATTACTTTTTCAATCACTTTTTGACTTAAAATTTCAATATCAGATTTAAAATTTTGATCATAATTATTCTGTTGATAAGAACCTAATTTTTCAATTAATTCAACACATGTTAAACCTAAATCTGCTACAACACTTTTAATACGTGTTGCTAAATCATTTGTTGTTGCTGTACCAATAGCACCATAAGTTGCATTGATTAATTCATTATATTCTCGTGTTAATTGATTAGCTAAATGACGAATATTATCTGTATGATTTGTTTGTGTTAAAATTTCTTGTGTTGTACGAGCCATTTGTCGTAAAATTTCAACCATACATGTTTGATAATCAACAAAATGTCCTTGATTTGTTAACATTGTTGTATCTAATGTTGATATTAATTTACGAATATTTTCACTTAAACCACTCATGATACCAATAGATGATGATTGATCTTCAAGTGTATGAACTAGTTTATGAATAGATCGCGTTAATAAATCACTATTATCATCAACAACTTTATGCCATTGAAGATTTTTTATATTTCCACCTGATTCTTTTGTACCCATTAAAAATTGTAAACTTGTTTCAACAATTGATTTAACTTGTTCTAAAATAAGACATTTTTCTTGTGTATGTACCATACATGATACATAATCGATTGTATGTTGTACAAATGGTTCAATATAAGTTACAAATTGTGTAACATAAGAACCAATACGTTCAGCATCACGTT